TCAGATCAGCCCAGTTCCAGCCATTGCGGCCATCTGGGGAGTGAACCAGTGTATGGAAGACCTCTCTCTCTCTCTGCCTCTGTAACTCTGCTTTTAAAGTAAATAAATGAATCTTAGAAAAAGCAAACCTCCACTCTGTAAAGATTTGCCTTGCTGCCATTTCCCCCCAGCCCTCGCCTCTGTGTGCCCCTCTGAGGGCGGGACTGGGCTCAGCACGGGAGGAGGGGGCACCCTGCAGACTCAGGGGCTCCTGAGTGCGGTCACGGGGGTGGGGTCGCTGAGCAGATGGACTGTGCTCGCTGCGTACACGTCCCTCGACTCCTGGTAACCTGTCCCCAACGCCAGACAGGAGAGGCCCCCACGGGGGACAGCGGTGGTCAGCACACACCTGTGGGTGTCCGCGCCGTGAACTCGGGGTCAAAGTGGAAGGTGTCCTCGGGCCTGCCCACGGCGGGTTTGAACGGCGGCTTGATCTCCTTCCGGTACAGCTTCTGCAAGGCAAGCAAGACAGGGCACTGAGACCACGGCCGCCACGGGGGGGTGGGGTGCTGGGGCACTGAGACCACGGCCGCCATGGGGGGTGCTGAGACCATGGCCGCCATGGGGGGCACTGAGACCATGGCCGCCAAGGCGGGGGGGATGCTGGGGGACTGGACCACGGCCGCCACGGGGGGTGGGGTGGGGCACTGAGACCACGGCTGCCATGGGGGGGACGCTGGGGCACTGGACCACAGCCGCTGTGGGGGGACGCTGGGGCACTGGACCACAGCCACCCTGGGGGGATGCTGGGGGACTGAGACGGCAGCCACCGTGGGGGGACGCTGGGGCACTGGACCACAGCCACTGTGGGGGGACGCTAGGGCACTGGACCACAGCCACCATGGGGGGATGCTGGGGGTCTGGACCACAGCCGCCACAGGGGACGCTGGGGCACTGGACCACAGCCACCCCGGGGGGACGCTGGGGCACTGAGACCACAGCCGCCACGGGGGACGCTGGGGGTCTGGCACCTTTGGCTAGAAGGAAAGATGTTCCCGTTACAGCCCGGGCACTCACAGACGTCCCTCGGAACTCCAAAATGCACACGGACACATGGGCACACGGACACACATCTCGTCAGCTCACGGCAGGCGGTGCTGATCCCCTACCATGACCCACGATGTACAAACCCGAGAGGTACAGGGGTCTAGGGACACGCTGAGTGCTATTCAGACTTCCCCTGGGCTGAATTTTGTCTCTAAGTAAAATCCTACAGGAGGCCACTGTGTGTCCCCAGGAAACAAAGGGAGGGGGCACTTGCCCCTCCTCTCCGGTATCTTGGGAGGCGCATCCTGGAGCTGCGGCCCTGGGGATGCTCCTGCCCTCAGAGCGCAGGTGCCCAGGTCCCTCTTCCCACAGCCACATCTGGGTCCAACCTTCTTCCAGAGACACCACACAACCGGCCCGGGTCCTGCCTTGGAGCTGCGACAATCCTCGAAGCCCACAATTCACCCGCTGGGTGCCTGGAGTCGGGCAGTGCTGCACAGGCTCTGAACGCACCAGGTCCACCCCGTATGCGACGCCCGGCGTGGAACAGAGCATGGGGAGATGCTGGGAAGTGCACGGCTGGAAGGGGTGAGGGGCAGGGGGTCAGCCCTGGGGAGCCAGGGCCGACAGGAGGAGAGGAGCCGGGTGGGCGCATGTGCCCCGCGGCCCACCCAGAGGCTGCAGGACAGCAGCAGAGCTGGGAGCCGAGAGCAGAGCCTTGGTCCAGGCACTGGGTGTGGAGTCCTCCACCCGCCTGCTCAGGGGCCCCACGCATTAGCCAAAATCCCTAATTCCCAGGCCTTTGGGGCCCTTCCGCATACGAGGCCTGGACCTCTGCTCCACAGAGGGGAGGCCGGACGATGGAGCCGAGGATTCCAGCCAGAACTGCCCTGAGTCTCAGGGACACCAGGAAGCGGGAAACAGAGGCAGGAGACGCCGCGGAACTGGTCTAAGGCCAAGGGCGAGGAGGGGCAGGCAGGCAGGCAGAGCTGGGTCTCCTGACCCCTCCCCAGACAGAGTGCTCGAGTGGACCCGGGGAGCAGCTGCAGGAGGGGAGGCGGGGGCGGCCAGACACCCAGCTGCCCGGCTGCCGCTGGTGGGCACAGCAGCGCTTGTCCACTGGGGAGCCATGGAGGAGAGACTGTGCGTCCACCCAGCCCCAATCAGCCCATCACCTCCTGTGCCGGGTGGACAGCTTTCACGGACTGAGTTGACTCGTTAAGCTCGCTCCAGAACTTTCCATGGCAACGCACCCACGGGGGGAGCAAGCCTCCGTGTCACGGGGCCTCTCATAAGCAAGGGCGGCTCTGCCCATGAGAACCCCAGCTCCGCCCGACCCACGGCGCAGGGCAGCGCCTGCCGGGATGTTTCAGCCGGGTACCTGCTGGAGTCAGGACCTCACCCTCTCCTGGAGACACAGATCCCCACGGAGTCCGTCTCCTACTCCTAATGTGAGGGAGAACTAACCACAGGAGACTTCCCCTAGAAACAAACCCCAACACAGGAGTGGCTGTCCCTGTTAGGCTTGCCCTGCCTTCTCGGCCCAGGGAGAAGCACAAGTGGACCCGTCCACTCCTGCCCTGGCCTCACTGTGGCCAAGGAAACAGCTCCCCTGGCCACAGCAGGACCCATGGTGATGTCCACTCACTGTTGCCACCACCGTGAGTGCTCCGGGCATCCAGTGCCCTGCCATGCTCAGAACTGCCCCCCAACACGTGCACCACCCCAGAGGGCAGTGAGGCCAAGCGCCGCCCTGCCCCCGCCCCCAAGCCGCTTCCTGCCTGCTTCAGGTCCAGCCACCAACAGCAGCTGCACGTGGAGCAGGCGTGGAGGGCGAGGCGACGTCCGCCCGTTCTCCCCATGGCAGTCCTGCTTGGCAAGGCTGTGGCCCGGCCCCTTAGTGCCCACCTCCGTGCCACACTGTCCCTTCAGACGAGGAAATCGAGGCTTCGTGAACTCAAGTCACCACAGGACGTCACAAGACCAGCGCGGCCCCAGGGCTGCACCTTGACCCTCTTGTCTGCTCCCCGGTGCAGCTCAGGGCTGCACGCCAGGGATCCCCATGATTTTATCCAGAAGGAAAAAGAATTCGTTGGAGTCAGACTCCTGTCCCAGCAGGGTGCCATGGGCCTCATCTGAGCTGAGAGCGTCCTACTCTCCTAAGCCAGGTGCCTGCCGATGGAGCAGGGAGCCGGCAATCACACAGGCCACCTACCCCAGACCCCGCCCCACGGGACCCTGGGTGGCTCACCTGCCACACCCCCGTTCCTCCCCTCCCCTGCATGCCTGGCGCAGCACAGGCAAACACGCAAGTGCCAGGGAGCCCAGCCGTCACACAGCACCCTTGCGTCACGTGCACAAGGCTTCTCGCTTTGGGAGGGGGCGTGGGCAACACACTCTGCTTCCTTGCTGTGGGCCCGTTTGGCTGAGGGGACCCTGACACGATCAAGGGAGGTGTGCAGGAGACAGTGGACCGACGGCTGGCCGTGAGCAGGATCCGGGGGCTGAGCACACCTGGGGCCACGGGGCCACGGGACCGCCACGCTGTCTGTCCCCCGACGTCGCCACGGCTGCATTCTGATCTCGGCAGGCAGAAGGCTCTGGGGGCCCCGCGGGGCTGGTCCCTTGGCCTTCGCTGCTTCGAGGCCGGCCGATTTCTTCCTGCGACTGAACATTCTGGAAACTGCTTGTATGCTGCCGCTACACAGGCTGTCTCTCTTCCTGTGGCCAAACCTAAGGAGGGGCTTGGGGTTTTGGGGAAAAGATGGCCTTGCCTTTCGTGTCCCAGTGTAAGCACCTGCAGAGAGGCTGAAGTGAAACAGTGGGGGCCGGTGCTGTGGTGTAGCGTGTAAGGCCACTTCCTGCAGTGCTGGCGTCCCATATGGGCACCGGTTCAAGACCCGGCTACACTACTTCCAATCCGGCTCCTTGTTAATGTGCCTGGGAAAGCAGCAGAAGATGGCCCAAGTGCTTGGGGCCCTGCACTCATGTGGGAGACCAGGAAGAAGCTCCTGGCTCCAGATTGGCCCAGCTTCAGCCGTGCCAGCCATTTGGGGAGCGAACCAGTGCATGGAAGATCTCTCTCTCCCTCCCTCCCTCCCTCCCTCTCTCTCTCTCTCTCCTCTGCCTCTCCCTCTCTGTAACTCTTTCAAATAAGTAAATTTAAAAAAGAAAAAGAAAAGACAATGAAACAGTGGCAGCATTTTGTCCGGGCCTTGAGCTTGATGGGACACAGGTTAGTGAGTCTGACCCAGATTCCCTCTGAGACCAGAGCAATTCACGGCCACGCAGCGGAGGCAAACGGCGTCCCAGGGTCCAAGCCATCAGGCACGACTTACATCCTCTCATTCGCGGCAGGTGTGAGGCTGACGCAGGCCTGGCAGCAGCGCTGCCCACCCTGCAGATCCCACGAGGGAGTCTGAGCAGGCACCCGAGGGCTCCGTCATCCCTGAAGAGAGCCCGAGGCACCAGCACGGCGGCCGGTTCTGTTCAGGTCACCAGCCCGAACATCTGCTCTCTACAGTGTTGGCTCCAGGCGTTGAGATTAACACTCCAGTAAGGCACAAGGCACACTGTCGACTGCTCCTCAAACAGCAACGCGAAAGTCCGTGGACGGAGGCGCTGCAGGACGGAGGACGCTGGGGCGCTCCCGCGGGGGTGGCCGTGTCAGGGCCCCGGGGCAGCTTGGCCTGCACGGCCTTCCCACTGCAAGAGGCTCCGGGGCAGAATGTGGATTCACAGAACTGCCGGCCCAGAGGCGATCACCCACCATCGTACGGCGAGTCCTTGTCGGTCCCTGAGAGGGTGAGCTCTCCCGGCGCACCCAGCCCAGGAGCCAGCCGCGGCAGCCCTTCTCCGGGCGGCGGGGGCAGCAGGCGACGGCTCCCACTCTGTCTCTGTGCAGGGATTCTCCACTCGGGCACCCCGAGTGGGGGACCTGAGCCAGCCCCTCCCTCACACGCTGCCGGCTCACCAGGCCACCTGGGCACCCTGCCCATTCCCCAGGCCGCGGTCTCAGCCAGGAGCCCCTCTGTCTTCCATGTGGACAGCACGCTTGGGAGGGCTTTGGCATGTACAAAGATTAGCCAGCTACTAGTAAGGTGAGTAGCTACCGACCTCATGAAAGGAATCCCGATAAGGCCCGAGTCGCGCTGAGGGCGCTCGCGTTGGGCAGTGTTCAGAAGCAAGCCCGCCCTCTCCCCAGGCCCACATCTGGGTGGTGTCATTCTGTCCGTCTACGCACCGCGCCCACCCGGCTCCCTTCAAGGGCAGCTGCGCTGGGGGGGAAGCCTGCCCGGGCCTGGCTTGCGCGGCCCGCGGTGCTGAACTCTGACAAAGCCGACCTCGGGTCTGTGCCTGCCCTGTGCGCTCAGCGTTGCTTCAGCCCCGGGAAAAGCAGCTCCCGCCTGCTGGGCTCCGCCGCGGCCTCTGCAGAGGCTCCGAGCCTGCACCAGCCTGGCGATTCTTCACCGGAGGAGTCAAACGGGGCAAGCTCGCGGGAGGCGTGGGCAGGTGCACTCAGGGCAGTGAGGACGGACAGGCCCTGGGCAGGGACCCGCACCTCCGCCCTGAGGAACGCCTTCCGCTCTGCAGTCACCCAGACCCCGGGGACGGCCGGGCAGCACTGCTGGCAGTTTGGGGTCACGGATGGAAGCAGAGAACAGAGGCTCAGGTCCCCCGTGGGTCCTGGGCGAGCACAGGCAGGGGGCGTCACTCCCTCGTGACTCTGCCCGCGCTGCAGGGGAGTGACTCCTTTGGGTGTGACGGTTCCTGCAAATGAGAGTGCACGGTGGTTTCCCGTGACCTGGGCTGCCAAAACAGAACGGGCACATCTCGACCCACGTCACTGAGTCCAAGGACCTGCGAAACAAGTGCCTGACAACACCTTGCATTTCAGGGTCTAAGAGAGCACAGCTGTGCAACATGGGGTCCAGGTCGGCCACCAGACACGGCGGGGGGGGAGGGCGCCCATGCACGGCCTGCACACTCACACCCGTAGCTCCTCGTGGGGAGCATCCCCGGGCCCCTTCCTGGGTCGGCTCCCAGCGGTCTTTCAGGCCCCATCTCTCTTATGCTGTGACCACCCACCCCGCATTGCTCTGGTTCAACAGCCGTCCCCAGGCTGTGGGCAGCACGAGGAGGAGCTGACCGTACGTCCTGGACACCCCACTTATACTTGGCTGGGCGGGCGCCGCACACTTCTTATGGGCCACGTGAACTAACGCGGCGGAGCCCCCAGCACCCAGCAGCTCCTCCCAGTCAGACCGTCAGACCCAGCAGCTCCTCCCAGTCAGACCGTCAGACCCAGCAGCTCCTCCCAGTCAGACCGTCAGACAGAAGGCGACGCCGAGGCCCTGCAGCCTGCCGGCTTCCTCTAGCGAGAACAGAAGTGACGGGGACCACACTCACAGCTGAGGCCGAGGGAGGGTCTTCCAAAGGCCAGAGTAGGAAGAAACGCGCAGAGACACAGGGAACTCCCGACCTTAATTCTACCCGAGTACTTGAAGCTAGCGGGGTCCAGGGAGCCAACGACTGCGTTTGCACCCAGGGGACTCGGCTGGCAGCCCCCACAAGCCCCGCTCGCTGTTGGAATCCCGAGCGTCTTCCAAGGCTGCCTCCGCTCCCCGGCAGGCCCTCCTGGCGATGCCCCCTCCCCCCGCCACGTGGCGTCAGTCCTTGGCTGAGATGAGCGTCCACACGCAGCGCTTGCCAAGTCCCTCCTTGGTCTTGTCCGTGTGCTGGCCGCAGGTGACTCAGCTACGCTGACCTTGAACCTCCTCTCAACCTGGCCCCCACCCCTGCCCTGTCCCTGTGTGTAGCTGGGGCCCTGGTATGACTTACGTTCCAGTCTATGGTCACAAAGAAAGGGTGACGCTTAATCTCTTCCACGCCGTCAACGCCAGCACCTGTTGTAAACAGAGCAGAGAGTGCGTGAGATCGAAGCCAGAGTGAGGGTCTCCCTGCCAGATAGCCCCGGGCTCAGTGAGGGAGGGTCTCCCTGCCAGACAGCCCCGGGCACAGTGAGGGAGGGTCTCCCTGCCAGACAGCCCCGGGCAGCAGGGGAGGGCTGGGCTGGGCTGGAGCAGTGTGGGGGACCTCATGTGTCCCTCCTGGGGGAGGAGGCTGCCACCTGCTCCTGCCCGCAGTGCCTGCTCCCCGGCCCCGGCCCTCACGGCCCAGGAAGCACCAGTCAGGTCCGAGCACTTGAGCTGGGAGGTGGCCTGGGGCAGGGCTGAGTGAAGGGGACAGGTGAGCTGAGGCTCCCAGCTCTGGGCGTGGGGAGGTGGCCTCCCAGAGAGGGGGGCAGGAGACTGCCAGGGAGGGGCAGAAAGCCTGGACCGCAGGGGCGTTTAGGCAGAACTGCACCTGGGGGAGGCGGGGCCTGGGCTCCTGTCCCTGCTCAGCACAGGGGCTGCTTTCACAGGGGTCCGCCTGTGCGGCCTCCTTCCTTCTTTGCTTCTACCACAGTGCTAAGGTCCTGGGGCAGCGGTGCAGGGCATGGGGCTGGCAGGGTGCGGAGGGTTTGGGGTGTGAAGTTACCCTGGACGGTGTGCCCTCGAGGGTCGTGCGTCCCTGTACGTCTGAGAGCACCCATCACTGCCCACGGCCTCCAGTCGGACAGCATGTCACCATCACTGCACCCGCTGCCGCGGACCCGGCCCGCGTGTGCGAGGCACTGCTATGGGCACCTGCGCGGCGCCTTCCCCAGGCACGGAAGCTCCCTGCACTTCCGTTTCGGTTTTCTTTAAACTTAAAACTGCTTTTTAAAATAAATGCTATTAATGATCACGGCACAGCTCGGGGCCCTCAGGGCTCTGTTTCCTCCAGGATGGAAGAAGGTGAGAGGAGCCCTGTCTCTCCCACGTTGAGTCAGAGACTGCTGGCCTTGATGGGGGCTGGGCCCAGGACACAGGTGGGAGAGGCGGGGCTGGGCAGGAGCCTCCTCCCCACTCCCCATCTCGGGCTGGGGGAGGCGCAGGCTCCCCTTCCTGCGTGCAGAGCTCTCTGGGGCTCACTCATCCTGACGGCTCCCTCAGGTCAGTGTCTCCCCACGTGTCCACCCGGCCTGACCGGGCTGTGCACATCCTGGCTCTCCTCCTGCCCAGGCACGGTGACATGAAGGACACTTGGCAGCCACCTCAGGACTCGCTGTCCAGCCTGCAGGGCCTCCCCCTCCTCTCGGCGTCGCGAGTCACAGGGTCGGGCACCGCTGTGGTGGGCACCACAGTTCATGTCCAGCCCCTCCCAGCCCCTCCACTCCTTGCAAGGCGGTGGACGGGGCCCCGGGGGCAGTCTCTGGTGCACGAGAGCCCAGGGCTGCCTCCCCACTCCGCCCTGGCAGCCTGACCAGGCCACACTAGCGATGGGCGGAGACGCATCGAGCCTCTCCTTCGCATCTCGGAGACGCCACCGAGCCTCCCGCGGCTCCTGTGAACACACACACACACACACAGAAACGGGCGGCTCGGCCTGGGGGGTCTGCCCTCCGCGAGGCTGCCTGGCGCTGTGCGGGGCTGTCCCAGAACGCGGAGTGGCTCTGATCCCCACTCCTGCTGTCCACAGGAGGAGACCGAGGCGGTGGGCTAGCCTGCTCAAGGCCACACCAGCCGGGAGCTGTAGCAATTGGAGGTGCAGGTGGGTCTCCCCACCCTATGTGTCCCCACCCCTGGAGGCCCCTGGACGTGCGTGTCTGTGAACCCCGAGTCCCCAGCACCAGCACAGCGCGTGAAACGCATTTGGCTGCTGTTGTGACACCCCCACCCCGCCCTCCCCGCCTCGTCGGGGAGAGTCCCTCACGCCCCCATCCCTACGCCTGGCTTACAATCAGAACCCCAGACTGAAAACTCCCATGGGGTCCCGCAGGGGAGGAAGAGGCTCAGCCACCTGGACCGGCGCATCTCCTGCTGGGTGCTCTGCCCACAGCTCCTAGGGGGCGACTGTGTCCCCCATGCCAGGCGCATGCACCTGCTGTGACTCACTGGCTGTGTTTCCCGGAGGGAACCATTTCTACCTCATTCTCATCCATTACTGGCAAGTAAGATCTGCAGATTTTTTTTTTAAGTCGGGAAAAGGAAACCCAGTGCGTGCTGGGTTTTCTCTGATCACTCAGCACGTTTTAATCTGCGCCTTCTCTGGCTGCAGGAACACGATGCACCAGGTCTGTGCTGGGCCTCAGCAAACGTCACAGTGAACCAATGCCGTGATTATTCCTCACAGATTGCAGGCGTTCCAGCAAGCGACAGCTGGGAACAGGAGGAACACGCGTGTCCCAGTCCTCTCCTGCGTCCATCTTCAAGAGCAGGCGCTGGCTGTGGACCTGGGCTTCCTGAGCCCCTCCTGAACCTGCTGAACAGGTATTTCACACTCGGCACACAGCAGCGAGCAGGGCCCCGGTGGGGGAGAGCCGGGAGTGTCTGCCGGTGTCTGTCGGAGCTGCACTGTTCTGTGATCCTGACCACGCGCCCGAGCTGCCCGCGGCACCCGCTCCGTCTCAGGCACCAAGAATAGGAACTGCTGGCGGCTGTGCCGAGAGGGAGGCCGGCGCAGCTCTGCTCTGCTCCACGGCTTTCCCGTGGGACCCCCGGTGCTGCTGGATGTCAACCAGGAGCTCAACAGGGCAGCAGCAAGGGACTGACACTTCCTGACCACACGTGGACCCAGGGCTGACCTCCTGACCACACGTGGACCCAGGGCTCACTTCCTGATCTCACGTGGACCCAGGGCTCACTTCCTGCTCACACGTGGACCCAGGGATCACTTCCTGCTCACACGTGGACCCAGGGCTCACTTCCTGACCACACGTGGACCCAGAGATCACTTCCTGACCACACGTGGACCCAGGGCTCACTTCCTGACCACACGTGGACCCAGGGCTGACCTCCTGACCACACGTGGACCCAGGGCTCACTTCCTGACCACACGTGGACCCAGGGCTGACCTCCTGACCACACATGGACCCAGGGCTCACTTCCTGCTCACACGTGGACCCAGGGCTCACTTCCTGATTACACGTGGACCCAGGGCTCACTTCCTGACCACACGTGGACCCAGGGCTCACTTCCTGACCACACGTGGACCCAGGGCTCACTTCCTGCTCACACGTGGACCCAGGGCTCACCTCCTGATCACACGTGGACCCAGGGCTCACTTCCTGCTCACACGTGGACCAGGGCTGACCTCCTGACCACACGTGGACCCAGGGATCACTTCCTGCTCACACGTGGACCCAGGGCTCACTTCCTGCTCACACGTGGACCCAGGGCTCACTTCCTGACCACACGTGGACCCAGGGCTCACTTCCTGCTCACACGTGGACCCAGGGATCACTTCCTGACCACACGTGGACCCAGGGCTCACTTCCTGCTCACACGTGGACCCAGGGATCACTTCCTGCTCACACGTGGACCCAGGGCTCACCTCCTGACCACACGTGGACCCAGGACTCACTTCCTGACCACACATGGACCCAGGGCTCACTTCCTGATCTCACGTGGACCCAGCGCTCACTTCCTGATCTCACGTGGACCCAGTGCTCACTTCCTGATCACATGTGGACTCAGGGCTCACTTCCTGATCACACGTGGACCCAGGACTCACTTCCTGATCTCACGTGGACCCAGCGCTCACTTCCTGCTCACACGTGGACTGATCACACGTGGACCCAGGGCTCACTTCCTGATCACACATGGACTGATCACACGGGGGCTCCAGGGCTCACTTCCTGATCTCACGTGGGCTCCGGGGCTCACTTCCTGATCACATGTGGGCTCCAGGGTTCACTTCCTGCTCATACGTGGACCCAGGGCTCACTTCCTGATCACACGTGGGCTCCAGCACTCACTTCCTGGAGCTTCAGGAAATAGTTACGTTTTTGTGGTTGTAGCTGTCGAGCCGTCACAGCCCACCCCTACTCCCTGGGATCCTCAGATGAGCCGGGCTGGGCTTACTGTCCATGGCCGCCGCCAGCATCCCCTGTCACTGTCCATCATGATGCCTACACTTGGCTTAAATGCTGCCAGCTTTTCTTAATCAGTTACTGGTGATCCACACATTCCTTTTGAAAGTATTTCCTGCCCACTTGAAGTTCCACTCACTCAACACTTGCGTCTTTGCCTGGCAGTCTCCGTTCCAGGGGACCCGGGCACCAGACCTCCAGACAAGCCCGGGGCCACGTGGGTCTCCTGTGGCGTCCCCGAGGCCGGCCGGGAGCTGCCCAGCTGCAAGCGTGGGGCTGGGGCCATTTACTTGGCGTTGGTCACGGTCAGTTTGGCTGATGACCTGAGGTTGCAGCAATGCCCAGGAGAAAGGGGATGGGGCTACGGAGACCAGGCAGGGCCACACTTGAAGTCCTCCAAACCCATCTGGAGGAGATGCCCTTTGGGCAGGCAAAGGAATCAAGAGAAACAGGAGGCGCCACCCGGCAGGTGTGCCCGCCAGCAGGACCGGACTGGCTGCTGTCCTAACCCAGCCGGGCGGTTTCTGTGCCCGCCAGCACATCTAATTCCCTCCTAACTGCATCCACCCCCACTACGGTCTTAGACCACCCTGGGGGTCTCGGAAACTACTGCCAGGGACGAGCCAGGGAGCCGCCAGCTTTGGAAAACAAGGCTGGGCAGGTGGTTCTGTTCTCACTGGGGCCCTTCCCGCCCTGTTCCTGCGGGGAACTTGGGAGAGAACAGTGCTGGTTCGGGCCTCACAGCTCCTGAAGTCAGGGCAACAAGACACGATGCGTTCACGGCTGCACTGAGAAATCAGCTCCCACACACCCGCGTCACTGAGGTCGGCGCACCGGGCAAGCGGCACAGCCCGGCCCAGCCCCACCAGCCTGCTCGCCGGAACCACGGCCCTGCCCGGCCCAGGGTGCAGCTGAGCCTGGGCTGTGCACCTGGGTAAACCGCGTTTCTGC